GCTGAAAAGTCCTTGACTGGTGTAAACTCTGCTCAGCAAGAACCAAAACATCAGTGCGTTATGAACATTATTCTCCTCCTAAATCCAAAACACAGCGCTCTACCAGCTACTAAGAAGAAAACTAACTCTGTCCCAGCTGAAACCAGGACATAGTCTCCCTCACGAAGCTGTGATCTGCTCCCCTTCCTTGCAGACAGTCTCCCTCAGTGGCCTGTTCTCTACTTTGAGGTCCTGTCCCTGGATTTCTGGCAGAGGTATCGCGTTGAAGGATATGGTTCTTTGGTGCTGCCGGCATCTCCAGGTAAAACATACTTGGGGCGTGATGTTAATTGTCTGGGGGAATGAGTTGAGTGGTTCTCTTGGGAGTGGATTCAGCTGGTCCTGGGGCGGCTTTGCCTTTGCATACTGAAGGGGATAGTTCGCTGTCTGGGGGGCAGCAAGGAAGGATTTGATGCATCCTGCACCATTCTGCCTTGTTGAGATGCATCATGTGTTGCTGTCCTTGCTCCTTCGGTGGTTCTGTCACAAAGTCTTGTGTGATAAAGCGCTGGGTGATGCTGCGTATCCATCTTTACAATGGCAGTAGCCCCCTCTGTCCCACAGGGAATCTGAGGGTCACAACTATTCCGACACCCACGTGTAACGAGGAGATGCTCCTCACGGGCAGGGGGTACTTTCAGTGCTGGCGGTGTGACTGTATGGGGCTGACTCGTTGGGAAAACGTTACAGAGATACCGTGCAGCGTTTCCATTTCCCGCCTACGGTGGTTTGGGTCAGCAGGTATCCATCTACCACGCTGTCCTCGGTGACTCTGAACAGGTTGTTGGTCGTAGCTGCTAAGCTGTCCTGTTGTCCTGGGCCAGGTCTCCACACGCTCACCATCCGTACCTGGCGCCCTGTGGAGCTGGGGACAGTCGCTGAGTTGAGGAGATTTTTCATTGGGGGATCTCCTGAGCTGGAGGACATAACCTACGTCAGGATACCATCGACCTTCAAGGTGAGCTCGACTGCAGGGCGTTGCTCATGCTGGGAGATGGTGGGTTATGCTCTCGGCTTCAGATGTCTGTGGACAGCCTGGACCAGATTTGAACGAGGACGAGCTGGTGGCCCTGTCCCTTTGACTAAGGAAACGTCTCCTTTGTGAGGCTTGTGATCATGAACAGAGGAACGGGCAGGCGCTGAGGCAGAGCTCTCTGCCTCCTGAGGTGTGTGCAGCTTAGAGAAGTGGGTGAACGTGGCCCAAAGCCTTGCCTTACCCCTGCCTGTGCTGGCCCTGTTCCGAAAGCGTCTGTCAGATCAGCATTTGTTACCAGCTATAGACTTTTTCCTGTGTTTTTGTAAGGGATCTGGGCTGTACTGCTTCTGGAACAGTTCACTGAAGCAAGAAGCCCGTGGGTGTGAGGCGGGCAGAAATTTCACGTTCTTAAGAAAGCTGCAGAGGTGCTCGCTGGTGTAATGAGCAAGTTGACCTTCGTAGCAGCTTTGTGTGGGAACGAGCCCTGATGCAGTTGTTGAAACCTTCCTCCAGCGCTGCACTCCGCTTGCTAGTGTTTAGGTCCTGCCCTCAGCCCAGCCTGGAACCGCCTGCCCTTCTTTCTGACCTCGCTTTCTGTGTGCAGCGGGGAAGGGAGAGACTTGGTGCCCAGAGGAGTGCATGCTGCTGGTGGGGCACGCTCGTTTTCGGTAGGGTCAGCCTGCTGCAGCAGGCTGCAGGCTGTGGTTACTCTAACTCGTGCCGTCTTTGCAGGGAGAGCGTCTGAGCCGCTTTGGTTTCCGCACAGAGACAACAGGGAGCGTCACGTTCCGGCTTTACTGCCTGCAGCAGTCTAAGTAAGTGCAGCGAAGTGAGTACGAGCTCCATCGTGTGTGCTGTGTTTCGGCAGCCCTGACCTCCTACTGTACTTCTGTGCAGAGCCTTTCTGGAAACCAGTGCCCTGAGGCAGCGCATGCAGAGTGTACTGGACCGGCTTGGAGGCTTCAGCCAGCAGAGCTCTGTCTACAACGTTTTGGGTAGGGCTTTCAGTGTCATTCTCCCTGGCGAGCCTTTGGGTCACTTTTGCCCCTTTTTACGGAGTGGGCAGGATATTTCAGGAGAATCCATTGCTGTGGGGATAATTGCCCCGCCATGTGCTCTCTGAGTCCATAGCAGAGGTTAAATGTCCTGGTCTGAGCTGGAAACTTCAGGAGGCATCAGCTCTCAGCAGGCAGGAGGGATAACCACCCTGGGAGGGCAAAGCCTAGGCTGGGCTGCCCAGTCTTGCCTGGCACTGAGCATGGCTTGTGGCACAGGCTGTCGCTGATTCCATTCTGCACAGAGCAAAGATGGTGCTAGAAAGAAGTGAAGAGAGCAGCAGGGACCGGGTGCTTTGTTGGTGGAACTTAGTAATAGGAAGTGAGACTCCTGCTGCAGGAGAGGTGGTGTTCGCTGGACAGACTCATCCCTCCCCTTCCCTGAGGCTGTCTGATGCATTCTGGCTTCCTCTCGCCTGCTGTGTTGTAGAGGCTTTCCAGAGGGCACGGCGCCGGATGCAGGAAGCACGCGAGAGCCTTCCTCAAGATCTCATCGGCACCTCTGCCTCCGCTGTGCACCAGTCACAGGAACCGTGATCGACCGCCTCCACGGCCCCGGAGCACTCGGCATCTCTCCGACACAAGCTCCCGCTGCTCAGTAGGAATCACAGTGCCGGTGCCTGGAAGCTTTCGAAGCCCTTCCTTTGCCATTTTCCGTGGATGGGGGAAGGAGTCTGTAACACATCCAGACCCCGAATCTTTGCATTTCCACAGGTACCTGTGGAAGGAGCCCCAGTCTTTCAAGGCACTTTGCTACCAGGCCCTAAGGATCCAGCCAATTGTTCGCATTTCTGCTGAGCGGACTAAAATACTGACATGGGACCTGTGAACCCTTTAACGCTTTTTCAGGAGTTGAACAGTAAATGGTTAGAAAAATTTCAAGTCTACGTGACTTGGTAAATTTAGTTTTCTTCTTAAAAAAGAGGGTGGTGTTGAAGGGTGATGGTGAATGCTGTTAGGGATTTAATGAAATGGGTAGGTAACTTCTGGAGGGTGCTGATAATTGTTGTCAGCATTTGCAGCTATGGGTCAGTCAATAGTAAAATGAAGCTGTTCACCTCTGCCTTAAGACTGATTCATTCCTAGAGAGAGCGCTCTCTGCTGCCTGTAATACATGAAATCAAAGCAAGGGAATAACGTTAGAGAGATGGAGAACGGGAGAAAAGGGTTACATTCCGTATTTCCTTGTGCGTGGCCCCATAACGTTTCTAGCTCTGCAGTGATGAGCAGGAGGATTCTTTGTTCAGGAATACAACTGAAAACACGCATTCCCCTTAGTTCATAGCAGAACTTTGGCTGGGGCTGGATGGTTTGCAGGCAACGAGAGCAGATTATAACATTTGCACAGCAGCTGAACTTTGAACCGTTCAAGCTGTTCATTTGAGCTATGGTTCATTGCTCCATCTCTGATTGCAGTACGTGGCATTGCTTCCTGGGGAAGCATCTGTGTGCCCAATTTTTACTCAGTTTCTTCTGTTCTTTTCTCAGATTCGTTTTTTTTCCTGTCTCAAGTTCACAGGAGAGAGGCTACCTGCAGAGTGGCAGTGCTGCATTGATTTGTGCAGGAGTCACTTTTCCGTGTGTTCTCCACCTCTGCTCCCAGCACAAGGGATAGGGAGAAAAATCTCAGGCTGAGATCACGCAGGTCTGAACGTGTCTGGAAAGTTAGAATTCACAGGCAGAAAATGAAACAGGAATTGGCCTTCCTCCTCTTGCTCTGCCTGTCCTTTGCAGGGAACGTGGGACTCGTGGTTGCAGCCATGTGTGTGATTGTTAGAACATCCCCCTCTTCCCGGGTGCTCCGTTCTCTTCCTCACTCCCTCCTTGCTGTTTCGATCTTGTCCCAGCCTTCACTGGGAAACCCAAAATCCCGGGTTTGTTCCTCCTTGACCTTTGTCGTAATCCCTAGATCTGTCTGGCAGCTTGAATGTGTCTGGCAATTTCAGTTATAAAAGAGGATTTTTGCTCACCTTCCTCGCCTGCTATCCCGGCTTTTTGATGGCAGAGGCTGCCCGCGTGTGTTAGCGTGGCCCGTTAAGCAGAGCGCGCTGTCCGTGGCCTGGAGCTGGATGATGTCTTGTGCATGAGTCACGTCTCTGCATACGCTCTTGATGTGATGGCTGTGAAGGCAAACGCTCGGTTCTGGAGCAGCAGAATTGAGGTGTGTGCGCGCTATCGTGGTCTTTCATCATACAGTCACGTTTCGCAGAGATTGACCCACTCAGCGCCCGGGATGCAAAGTGTTCAGTGAGTACGTAGCGCTCGCTATCTCTTTTTTTAATCATAATTCACGTTATGGGCCTGTACGTTTATTGCATTCTATCTAAGCAATACTTAATTCCCTTCTGGGTGTTTCTGTTGTGCTTATCACTAATAGCTGAATTGCCTGGCTCTGAAGCCCTTTTCAGGATTGAGTTACAAGGTTAAGAGAATATTCTTTTTATCAATAAAGTAACAAAACACCTTTGTGATTGAGATGACGCCGAAGGCAGATCCTGTTTGAGAGTGGACTCTTCTGATGAGAAGATCAGGTTCCTGACTCGTGCACATTTATATGGCAGGATTTGGTGTACTGAGTGTTAAGGTTACGCAGAGATGCAGTGAGGTTTACATAATGGTACTACTTTTGCTAGTTAAAACTCTTGAGTAGGGTAAAATCTTAGAGAAACTCAAGAGAGCAAAATTTAAACATAGAAAATGATTATAACCGAAGAAGCAATTCTTCCAAAATAAGACATTGCTAGCGGTTTTTCACCTTCGTGCTTGCAGCCTCCTTGGCCTGGCAGAACAAAATGGTGCTCACAAAAGATGTTTTGGAGAAAGCCTTCAGCAAGTGGTCTTTGAATATGCCCTTTTATAAATTAAACCAGCAAATTTCCATATACATGTAGGAAAATGTCACTGATCTTTTAATCAAAACTGGCATTTGGTGCAGGGCTTGTGCTCTGAGCTTGCCAAGGAGCCCGGATGGCTGGAACGGGGGTCGTGCCTCCGGCAGGTATGCTCAGATGGAGCAGGAGGTGGCCCGTGGGGACAGGCAGAAGGGGAGGCTGGCGATTTCCTTGGAGTGGGGAGGATTTTCCCCGTACAGAAGCGTCCCTACAGTTTGCGCCGGAGGGGCGGCTTTGCGGTGGCACTCGGCAGGAGGAGGGAGAGGAAGGGACCGTTGTGGGTGCACAAGAGCTCAGGACGGGAGGGCAGCGGTTACTGGGGCAGGGAGCCTGGCAGGCTGGGCGCTGCCGTGCCGGGGCGGTGCTGCGGGCTCTCGGGGCGATGAGAGTGGGTCTAGCGGTGGGACTCGGAGGTCTGCGCTGTCCCCAGCGCGTGGCCAGCAGCCCCCCAGCTCTGGCTACCTCAGCTGCAGCTGGTTTCTCTTGAGCTTTGCTTCTTCCTTCAGGGCAGACTGGAGCTGTGATGATTTTTGATTGCCAGCTGAACTTGCAGCTGAACAGGCATCTGTCTGAGGCTGCATCCTGCACCAGCGATGGGGTCTGGATGGGGGCAGGAGCCAGCTGAAAGTCCCTAGGGGTCTTCTGGGCATCTCATTAAATAAACTATGCAAACAAAGGGTGATTGCAGAAATGTTGGCTTGGTGGATGAAAAGGCTGTGGGTAGCTGGCAGGGCTTGCGGGATGCAAATCAGCAGCCATTAGAAATTCCAGTGTAAATGTAACAGAAAAAGAAAACTTAGAAATGAGTCATTCCTGTGACTGGGGGAACAGCTTTCCACCAAAGAAGTCAGACCCAGGAATGGGTTTTGCTCTCAACCGAGGAAGATTTGGGCTGGGATGACTTCAAACTGGAGCCTTGCCAGCAAACCTCAAACACCCCTTTGGCTTAGAGAGTCATAGAATCGTTAAGGTTGGAAAGGACCTCTGAGATCATCGAGTCCAACCGTTACCCTAACGGCCGGGTCCACCTCTAAACCCTGTCCCGAAGCGCCACATCCACATGGTTTTTGAACACTTCCAGGGACTGTGATTGCACCACTTCCCTGGGCAGCCTGTGCCGATGCTGAACCACTCTCTCCATGAAGGAATTTTTCCCAATATCCAATCTAAATCTCCCCTGGCGCAGCTTGAGGGTGTTCCCTCTCGTCCTCTTCCTTGCTACCTGGGAGAAGAGGCCGACCCCCACCTGGCTCCAGCCTCCTTTCAGGCAGTTGCAGAGAGAGTTGTCCCAGTGTTTGTGATGGACCAGAGATGCAGCGTTGGGACTGCAGGGGACGTTCCGACCTGGGAGGGTGGGCTGGGCTTCCCACCGTCCGTGCTGCCCGCCGTCCGTACTGCCCGCCGTCCGTGCTGCCCGCCGTCCGTAGTGCCATCCTGGCAGCCGGAGGACGCGTGCCCCGGAGGTGGGTGTGGAAGGACGTGAAGCGGAGCTGCCGGCTCTGGGGGAGAAGGAGCTGCGGCAGGCGTGCGTCCTACAGAGATTTGTCCTGTTGCTGCGTGGTGCGTGGGGAGGGAGAGGTGTGTTTTGTCTGTGCTGTGGGGTTGAAGTGGTCATTATTAAACAACTACCGGAGGCTGCTTGTTGGCTCAATATATTTTAATTTTAGCCACTGGGTTGGAGAGTCAGAGAAAGCTCCCTGCAGGCCGTCTCCTGGCAGTGAAGCGAAGGAGTGGGCTGCTTTGCCTTCCACCCCCAGCTGCCTTTCTCTTATGCTTACTGTCTTCTCAAGGTGCAGCCTGCGTTCTCTAAAGCTCATGTCAGTATTTCAAGGCATGGCAGGGCACAGCTGACCTGAGCAAAGTCACACTTCATTGAATCAGTCCAGAAATAAGTGTCTGTGGGCCCCTTTTCCTGCATGGAAGTCATCGCTTTGGTTGAAGTGAACCCTAGGGCCGTGCAGACTGGAGGTAACTTCCCTTGCCCTCTCATCCATCGAGATCCTTTTCTAGAGAAACACAAAAAATCAGAAAGGACCGACAGAATCAGACTTGCCTATAATTTATTCACAAGTTCTTATACTTCAAAACAAAAATAGTCTGACTTTCAAAACAGTGGGGAGAATTTTTGTGATGTGTGAAAGTGAAAATTGTCTTGGAGGTGTGCGATTCCGAGTTGTTCCAAGCTTTCCAGATCTGAGAACGAGAGGATCGGCCCTTTGGGCAGGTGGGAAAGGTGGGCGTCCTGTGACTTAGTCCGGCCTTCGAAAGCCAGGAAGGCCAAGCTGGATATCAAGATCTAGTCCATTGCTTTCCTTCAGGCAACATCGCCTTGACTTAATCAAAGCCCGAGAGATGTTTGTTCAACCGGTTACATGAAGATGGAGACTACAGATCATCCCTTCCAGCTGTTTGGGTGTTTTTGGTTGTAGCAAATTTTCTCATACGGAGCAAGTGACGGTGGCAGCTTGTGCCTGAGCTGAGCAAAGCCTGTGTCAGGCGGCGGTCGGAGGCGTGAGGAGGAGGGAGCGTGTGATTCCTGCCAGGTGGTTATTGTTCCTCTGGGGGGTTCCCGGCCCACACTGCCAGTGCCTGTGATATCTTGTTCTCCGCTGCTAGTCGCCTTGTGAGCACTGTGATGCTCTCTTA